CATACTAACCGATATGTGAATTTCGACTCAAATCACCCGATAATGGTTAAAATACCCATGGGTCGAAATACCCAAAAAGAAGTTTGTAAAAAAATGAATCCGCCTCAACAATATGGAACTTATCTACATCTTCTATCTAGTTTTATATTAAACAGTCGCTGTCCTGAAGCGATGGCAAAGCCCTGTATGAAGTAGATGCTTGTATGCAGAAAAAAATAAAAAATACGTACATTCTTCAAAGACATTTAGCGGACCAGGAAAACGATTAGCTTTTAGTGCCGATTATTACAAGTAAACCATTACGGGTTTGCTCCTGCAGGAAAAAATGTTAACAGTTTGGGTCTCCCTTTATCAAAGCCACTGTATCTTGTCCTAAACACACAATAAACCGCAGATTCCCTAAGGATTTTTACCTGCAAACTTGACACGCTGATCAGTTATCCTAAACCCCATCTTTCAGCGGTAAATCACCGAAATGCGTGGCAATTAAATTTAATTAAACCACTTGCTTTTATTAATATTTACACTTTATCAGAGCGGCAGCATAATCGCCCCCAATCATTAACACCCCGTTTGCATTGAAACGTTTTATTTCATTCCAGGACACATTCAAGCTTCAAACACCTGGCGGGGGTGGTTTTGGTGTTCCAGGCACTTCTAGGGATGGAAAAGGTCCGGCAGGATCCAGAAAAAACGAATTTGTTGAGCGCGGCAGCGTTTACGAATATCGAATGGCCCAAGAAGGAGTCTGATTGTAGGTGAGTTTCAACTGGAAAATCCATTTTTGAGGATTAAAGTTATGAATGGTTGAGACCTCAAATGTCCAGTGAGACAGTTTGGAAGTTTAATCCTAATTAGTGATGGTCGACAATTTGTATTCGCGCTTAAAGTCCTGTCATAGTCGTGCAAGCCTCGACAGAAGTTAAACTAACATTTAGATTCCAAATTGCGTCCCGTTTAAAGCCAATTTAGGACGGCTTTACTTGGTGACTATTTTATATTTCCGCGGATTCGTTTGCCCCAGGGATTTCAACTGGCGATCAATCACGACTGAATAAATCTGACTCAAATTTCGTTTATTTTGCCACTGTACGGTGTAAATGTGAGTCAATTTCTTCAAAATTTTCAAAAAATGAGTTTCCAGGATTTTTCCAGTTACTAAGGCGAGGCGATTCGGGTGCAAAACACGAATTTTTCAAAAATTTGACAGGAAAAAGCCGAAATTGCCACAATCCGGCTTATAATATCACTCAAAAGAGTAAATGCCCTGCTTTAAGCGTGGAAAAACGCTCTTTAATAGAAAATTTCTGAGAGTTTGCAGGATTTTTCCGGATACTAAAACGAAGCGATTGGCCATTACGCAACAACGATTTTTTTAAAATTTGCCAAGGTAAAACCAAAAATCCCTAAATCCGGCCCATAATATAATTGCAAAGTCAAACTCCTCTGCTTTAAGTGAGGAAAAGTTCACTATAATTGAAAATTTTTGGAGTTTCCTGGATTTTTCCAGTTACTAAGGCGAGGCGATTGGTTGTTAGAAAACACAAATTTTTTAAAAATTGGACTGGAAAAAGCCCAAAATTGCCACAATCCGGCTTATAATATCACTTGAAAGACAAAATGCCCTGCTTTAAGTGTGGAAAAAGACACTTTAATAGGAAATGTCTGGGAGTTTCCAGGAATTTTTCGGATACTAAAGCGAAGCGATCGGCCGTTGCGCAACACCGATTTCTAAAAAATTTGCCAAGGTAAAACAAAAAATCGCTAAATGGGGCGCATAATATAATTGCAAAGCCCAACACCTCTACTTTAACTGAGGAAAAGTTCACTTTAATAGAAAATTTTTGGAAGTTTCCAGGATTTTTCCAGTTACTAAGGCCAAGATATTCAGGTGGTAAACACGAATTTTTCAAGAATTTGACAGGAGAAAGCCGAAATTGCCACAATCCGGATTATAATATCACTCGAAAGACAAAATGTGCTGCTTTAAGTGCGGAAAAAGATACTTTAATAGGAAATTTCTGGGAGTTTTCAGGAATTTTTCGGATACTAAAGCGAAGCAATTGGCCGTTGCGCAACACCGATTTTTAAAAAATACGCCAAGGTAAAACAAAAAATCCCTAAATGAGGCGCATAATATATTTGCAAAGCCAAACTCCTCTGGTTTAACTAAGGAAAAGTTCACTTTAATAGAAAATTTCTTGGAGTTCCCAGGATTTTTCAGTTACTAAGGCGGGGCGATTGGTAGTTGGAAAACACAAATTTTTAAAAAATTGGCAGGATAAAGTCCAACATTGCCACACTCCTGCTTATAATATCACTCGAAAGAGTAAATGCCCTGCTTTAAGTGTGGAAAAAGACACTTTAATAGGAAATATCTGGGAGTTTCCAGGATTTTTTCGGATACTAAAGCGAAGCAACTGGCCGTTGCGCAACACCGATTTTTAAAAAATACGCCAAGGTAAAACAAAAAATCCCTAAATGGGGCACATAATATAATTGCAAAGCCAAACTCCTCTGCTTTAACCGAGGAAAAGTTCACTTTAATAGAAAATTTCTGGGAGTTTCCAGGATTTTTTCAGTAACTAAGGCGAAGCGATTCAGGTGGTCAACACGAATTTTTCAAAAATTTGACAGGAGAAAGCCGAAATTGCCACAGTCCGGCTTATAATATCACTCGAAAGAGTAAATGCGCTGCTTTAACCATGGAAAACCGCTCTTTAATAGAAAATTTCTGAAAGTTTTCAGGATTTTTCCGGATATTAAAACGAAGAGCGATTGGCCGTTGCGGAACACCGAATTTTTTTTAAATTCGCCAAGGTTAAACCAAAAATCCCTAAATGAGGCGCATAATATATTTGCAAAGCCAAACTCCTCTACTTTAACTGAGGAAAAGTTCACTTTAATAGAAAATTTCTGGTAGTTTCCAGAATTTTTCATTTACTAAGGCGAGGCGATTGGCCGTTGAAAAGCACGAATTTTTCAAACTTTTGAGAAGAAAAAGCCAAAATTCCCACAATCCGGCTTATAATATCACTTGAAACAAAAAATGCGCTGCGTTAAGTGTGGAAAAAGGCACTTTCATAGGAAATTTCTGGGAGTTTCCAGGAATTTTTCGGATACTAAAGCGAAGCGATCGGTCGTTGCGCAACACCGATTTTTTTAAAATTCGTCAAGGTAAAACCAAAAATCCTTAAATGGGGCGCATAACATAATTGGAAAGCCAAACTCATCTGCTTTAACTGAGGAAAAGTTTACTTTAATAGAAAATTTCTGGGAGTTTCCAGGATTTTTTCAGTAACTAAGGCGAGACGATCGGCCGTTGGAAAAAACGAAATTTTCAAAATTTTGACAAGGAAAAGCCAAAAATTCCCACAATCCGGCTTATAATATCACTTGAAACAAAAAATGCGCTGAGTTAAGTGTGGAAAAAGGCACTTTAGTAGGAAATTTCTGGGAGTTTCCAGGAATTTTTCGGATACTAAAGCGAAGCCATCGGCAGTTGCGCAACATCGATTTTTAAAAAATTCTCCAAGGTAAAACCAAAAATCCCTAAATRGGGCGCATAATATAATTTCAAAGCCAAACTCCCCTGCTTTAATTGAGGAAAAGTTCACTCTAATAGAAAATTTCCGGGAGTTTCCCAGATTTTTTCAGTTACTAAGGCGATGCGATTGGTCATTGGAAATAACGAATTTTTCAAAAATTTTACTGGAAAAAGCCAAAATTGCCACAATCCAGCTTATAATATCACTCGAAAGAGTAAATGCGCTGCTTTAAGTATGGAAAAACGCACTTTAATAGAAAATTTCTGGGAGTTTCCAGGATCTTTTCAGCTACAAATGCGAGGACCGACATTGACCGTTGGAAAACACGAATTTTTCTGTATCTTTTGTTTCTCTTATCGGCTGTTTCTCCTGAAGCAAAAACAATCCTGGACATGAAAACAAGAAGCATTTTCTCTAAGGGAATCAAAACATTTAACAACAGAAAATGCCGAAATAAACAGCGCTACCAACTTGTAACGAAATGTTGTTCGCAAATAAAGAAAGTGTCGGTAAATTTCTATTGGAAAATGTGACTGACGCTAAAAAAGTTAAAATCTCTCGAAGGGCTCGGGATAAACATCGTATATGTACTCCCTGAGCTCTTCGGGTACGACACAGAAGTGGAACAAAAATTGCAAATTTTTTTATGCGGGTTTTTAACTTTCTAAATTATTATCTTCATTAAACAAMGTCGAATGTATTTGTTGTGTCGAGTTCATATGTCCRTTTTTCTGCTCACCTTATACCTCAAATTTTGCTCAATAAATTGTTCAAATCGAATCACCAACTGAGAAAATAGTCACAGTTAATGTGCTTTTGTAAACTGAGCTTGCCMGCATTAGTTGRGGGTTAGTTTTCAAAATGTGCTCTTCAAAGCTTTAAGGGCATATCAATGTGGAACATGCATAAAGTTTACCTTTCTTAGAGAGACCGATAAATGCCACAACTCTTCTACATGTTAGATGGATAAACCAGCCGGTGGTTCATTAAAAGCAGTGATTCTGCTCCTCAGACAATGAAGGAAGCGTTTTTCAATCGAATAACAGTGCGAAGAAAACTTACTTGTCCGAGGTTTTATCAACATTTTGCGATACTTTTATGATTCTGATTGAACTCTGAATTCTTCCCGACTGATTCGACATCAAACGGTTGATTAATAACAGTCAATTTGCAACAGTCTGGTAAATGAGTGCGACTTAACACGGACGGCTTATTAACATGCAGCAACAATCTGGGAAACAACGTCGATTAGGATAATGATGCAAAAAGATAATTATTCATTTCATCGCTATCGTTGTTAAGGGTGAGGCAGATTAATGATAACGGATTTATAACTGGCCGCAGAAAATAGCTGCCATCAGTCTCATATAGTGCTAAATAGTGCGGTTTGACTTTGCGTCATTGCGGCTCTCCTAATGAATTAACTGGGGTAAATGGGCATCGTTTTCAATGCAAAATTACCGAATATTCAACATATTTAAATAGATTTAGTTCTTGGCTTTAGAAGAAAGTTTGCGTTAAAGATCCAGTTTCTGGCGGTTATTAAAAATTGCTCCTCTAATGTCTTCAGCTTCCAGTTAATCTCAGCAGTTGCAGCATTTTTAATGTGTAGAAATTGTTGTCGGAACTTCCTCCAACCGTTTCGGATCAGCGATTATTTCATTGTATTCCTGAAACTAAACTGTGCTTATTTCAATTATCTGGAAGAATTGATCAAATGCAAAAAGAGCATTTTCTAAAATCCGTGCTATTTTTGTTCCCTAATTTTCAGTGCTCGATGAGCACAAATTGCTACAACACATATAAAAATCCTCACACAAACGGAATAAAAGCACCCAAATCGTAAATGATTTTGCCTTTGGTATCGCATAAAAGCGCAATATTTTAACAGATTCCTCAACTTCCCATTTGTAGGTCTGTACTTGTGCGCAGATATTTTGTTATTTTACGCATACGAGTTGGAAAACAACTGCAATAGTCCTTTTACCAAAACCTTCCTCCAAAACTGGCGCTCAATAAGCTCCAAACTTGCGGAGAACGTCTTGAAAGAAATGAAAAAAGCGCAGCTTGGCTTAACTGGCTCTTCGACTTAAGAAAACACATTGAAAATTGCTACTAAAATGTCCGCTGTTATTGAGGCGAAGAAATAGAGCTATCTGATAAACTTACACCATCTACATCCCTGCAGGTGGAAACACCGAATCTCCTTCCTCACTTTGCAGCAAACCATCTTATCAACTAAATAATAAGCCGGTGGTGGCGCAACCAGATTAATTTTTTTGCATCAATTAAAAAGCCATTAAGACCGACCCATCTGTTTAGTTGACTATAAATGATTATGGCAAAACAATCTTTCTCAATTAGGACGACAAAATGCAGTGTTTCTTAAACAGGTTGCTCTCTCTATTGAAGTATGGTTTATGAGCGCGATATTTCAATGGAGCCGAAGATTAATCGCATAATTAACCGTTGCAAAACTGTATTGTTACTTTAAAGCTCGATGTTTTTAGTTGAATGCAGTGCTGCGATAATTAATGTAATGCGCTCGGTGCAGGTGCCAGATTATAATTTTGCTGCCAACACAAATATGGCAACAAGAAGTTACTCAGTTTGGTTGCAAGTCATCATTGCCAGTGGAAAACCTACGTTCTGAATTGGCATTTTTCAACGGAAATCATGGACGAACAGGAAAATATTGTAAATAACAAGGCCTGAGTAAGATTTTGGAACATCAAGATGCGTGGGCCAAGATTGCCGCTTCCAACGAACCCTCTTTAATCGGGATTCGGAAAATTTGATCAAAAGCCATTAAAGTTGGAAAAATTGCCGCCAAATTGCAAAACTTTCCGGTACAGCAAATGTAAATGTTACGCAGGCTTAAAAAAAGGCTTGCATGGTGAAGTTAATGATTCTGAGTTTTTAAGGAAAACGTCTCTTGAAGACGAATGTCTGCTTTAAAACAGTTGAGAATTCCCGAACATTTGTCGATCCGATTGATTTGCAGTTTTCAAATGAAAAACCTTTATTTTTCTTTCTGCAGGCATCAGTTGCCATTTTCTATCTTGTGAAGATTTTTTGAAGAAAATGCTTCTTATAGGCGAAAATCTGCTGTAAAACTGCTAAATGCGCTTGGACATGTTTGGATCCAGGCGATTTACACCATTCCAATAAAAAAGCTTCTATTTCGCTATCGCGTAGTACCGTTTACTATTTTCGTAGTGCGGCTTCTGAGTAATAGATTTTCGAAAAAACTGCTTTTTTAGGCGAAAATCCGCATGAAATCTGTTGGGACCGATTGGAAATTGTGTAGATCGAATTAATTTGCAGTTTCGCCATAAAAACACTCTAATTCTCTATCGTTTAAAGTGTGTTTTACTGCCTTGCAAGGTTTCTGTGTAAATCATTTTTGAAGAAAACGTGYCTTGCAGGCAAAAGTTTGCTTTAAAACTGCAGAAACTYGTAGAYATTTTCCCCGCCGTTTATAAAAGYCTCTATTTCTTTATCCAGCAGTGTCATCAACCCTTTTCTGTCTTGTGAGACSCTTCACAGATGCKAAAGTCTGCTTTAAAAATCCAGACTCATGGATTTTTTTCGATCCGATCGAGTTAATTCGCAGCTTTTCAAATAAAAACACCCGATTTCTCTCTCGAATAGAGTTAGCTGCTTTTTACTATCTTGCGTGGTTTCTGAGTAAAGAATTTTTGAAGAAAACGTGTCTTGAAGGCAAAAGTTCGCTTTAAAACTGCAGAAACACCTAGACATTTTCCTAACCGGTTATAAATAAGCCTCTATTTCTCCTTCCAGCAGTGTCATCAACCCTTTTCTGTCTTGTGAGACGCTTTACAGATGCGAAAGTCTGCTTTAATAATCCAGACTCATGGATTTTTTTCAATCCGATCGAGTTAATTCGCAGCTTTTTAAATAAAAACACCCTATTTCTTTATCGGATAGAGTTGACTGCTTTTTACTACCTTGCGTTGTTTCTGAGTAAAGAATTTTTGAA